TACATGATTTAATACAGCTCCACCTGAGGTGGATCAGAGCCAGCAGGTATATCTGTACCATCACACTTTCCCTGTTTTATATCCAAGGATTGACACCACACCCGTTTTATGTTGGGCGGCTGCACAGCCTCCATCCCGCCGCGTGACACGGGAACTCGTGTCCCTGTCAGCAGGCAGGAGGGAATGAGCCATATCCTCTGGCCACACCCCAGGTGAGCCACACCCCAGGTGAGCCACACCTGCACTTTGAGGCTCGATTTGAGCTGTTTTACTGCTGCCTATCAACCTTGTTCCTCTCTCAGCGGCACCGGCTGGACTGGGGTGTGTGAGGCTGCGGTGCCCTGCAGGTGCCCTGGAGCTGCAGCATCCTCCTGGGAGGCACACACTGGGGCACCTCCAGGTGCTGGTGGAGACACAGGAAGACACAGTGTTGAGCCTCAGCCAGAAGCACCAACATCAGAGATCGTGGGGATTGTTAATCAACTGAACTGATCCTATGAATTTTTCACCAGTTCTGAGTCTCTGGACCACCCTATTCAATACTACAGGTCTCAGTTCTCTCCTCCGTGCAGCACTCTCCTACTCAGTGAGTTTTAAGGGAAACCAATGTGAGCCTGGGTCACACAGCTTGGGAAAGGTTTTGCAGAGCACGTTCTAGAGTGACATTTGGTCCCCAGGGAGGCCTGTGAGTCGCCAGACTCCTCCTGGGTGATGGAGTTCCCTGCACTACGTCAGCCAACACCCCCAGATGTTCTGAGCAGACGCAAAACATGCTCTAATGGACATGAGGAACTGTTCCCTGAGTTACTGACTGCGAGTGCAAGGACGGGTTTCACTTCTGCTCTGGGAACAAGTGGGACTTGGCAGTAGTGCAAAGCGTGTCACTGTGGTGACCCTCTGTGCGATAATTCTCTAAGGAGTGGCAGTTCCATGGAAACACCGTGTTCTGCTCTGCCCTGAGCTGCCCCAGAGAGCTGAGGGGCACCTGGGGACATGGCTCAGTGGTGGCCTTGGCAGCGCCGTGAGTGAACCTTTGGACTGGGTGAGGGCTTTTCCAACCTACCCCATCCTGTGACTCCGTGATTCCATGACTCTCTCTGAGGACACGCTGCTGTTTCCCACATGGCCGTGCACAGATGTTGCCAGGTGTCCCCTGCCAGCCGGGCCCTGGCAGAGCCTCAGCTCACCAGGAATGAGAGAAGGTGACAGAATAAAAGTAGGGGGAAACCAGTTGGTCGGTGCTTTCTGTTTCCCTCCTCTTGGCCAACTGCTAGACACAGTAAATAGGGAATTAGGGGCTTCTCAATATGTGTATTTTTTTATGTAAGTGCTTGGGGATTTCTGGTCCTGGGCTTGTCTGGGAACACAGTTTTTCTGGGCTGACTGATGCAGTCATAGCAATAACCTAAATTGCAGTTTTTACTTGAAGTTTTTACAATGTCACCTTCTCCTGGAGGGAGTTTAGAAGGGAAGGGAGCTGTGACGTGTGGTTACACTGTGGTGTTCATGTGTGTCCACACAGGGAATTGGAACAGTACCTGTAGTGCCAGATTCCTGTTGGCAGAAGTAGAAAACACCTGCTTCCTCCTTTTCCAGAGGTGGTTGGTGGTCGATGTTCCTCCTACCTGGGCTGTGTCCTCAAGCACATCTGTTCTTTTTGTACGTAAATCTTAACGTTCCCTTGACGTGAAACACTCAAACACTCGGTGCTGCCATTCCTTGAACACTCCCCCTGACTTATTCAAGGAATAACATTTGTTTATCCCTGAGAAGATACAAACAGAATGCTTAGGGAAAAAAAAAAAAAAAAAAAAAAAGAAGAAGTTTTCAAAGAACACACTGAGGAAAAAAAAAGTTTTCAAAGAATATGCTGAGGAAAAAAAGTTTTCAAAGAATATGCTGAAAAAAAAGGGTTTCAAAGAATGTGCTGAGCAAAAAAGTTTTCGAACAATATGCTGGGGGGAAAAAAAAGGTTTCAAACAATATGCTGAGAAATGATGCAATGGAATAAAAATGATTACTGAAATCTCGTGTCTGTGAGGGATGAACAAGAGCGGGCTCTGTGCAGCGTGTGGCAGGGACATCATACACTTTTCTAGGGGGACTTGTAATCCTTTAGAGGAAAAACGTATAGCGGGCATTGCTAAGTTTCTAACGCCCTTTTTTCGCCGGGGAATAACGGCTCCGAAGTTGCTGCCTGGGGGACGTGGGGGCTGAAAAAAAGGGGCATAAAACAGGCGGAAAAGGGTAAAAAGCGCGGGGTGAGCTGGGTTCAGGCAGGGGCGGGCGGGTCCCTCAGAGCGCGCATTGGTGGTTCAGTGGTAGAATTCTCGCCTGCCACGCGGGAGGCCCGGGTTCGATTCCCGGCCAATGCAACTCGCATTTTTGGTTTTTTTTTTGGGCGGGAGGAGCCGTCGCGTTTTTGGGGTCGCGGCGCTTTCGTTTTTCCCCCGCGGGGAGGGGAAGGAGGGGTTCCCTCGGGCGG